GGGGCAGGCAGCAGCAGAGGGAGGGGAGGAGCTGGCCTCATCCCCCGCATCAGGCCTATTCCCACTCCTTCCCCATCCCCGCCCCTCACCCCTGCGTCAGTCCTTCTTCCATTACCCTGCCACTGCCGGTTTCAGCCCGGGCCCACTGCTCCCCCCGCTACAGCGGCCTGGCTATTCCTCTCGCTGCCACCGCATTGGGCCCTTCAGGTGGCAATGACAGAAGGAGGAAGGGTGGTCCGAGGTCAGAGCCAGTGGCCTCACCCCCGCCCTCCGCAGCATCCTGACCCCGCTCCCCCCATGCCGCCGTTATCTCCAAGGAGTAAGGGAGGAGTGAGGCCAGCTCTGGTGGCCTCACCCCCCCGCCCCCCAACTCCATCGTCGCCACCTGCAAGGAGCAGGGTAGGGAGTGGGGTGAGGCCAGCACTGCTGGACTTGCTCCCCCTGTTCTGTCCACTCCATTGCCCCTGCCTCCAGGGAGTAGGTTCAGGGGGGCCAGGAGGATGTCACCCATGTTGAAACCTATTTTTATTTTTTAAATCATTATCAGTATCTGCTACTTGGTTTTGACTGAAACATCTTTTCTAAATCAAAGTGTTTCTTATTAGACGTGTCTACATGGTGCTGTACGGCAACACTGCTACAGCACTGTGCTTTTGGTACTTCCTTTTAGAAGTATGGGCAGTTACTGCGCTGTGCACACAGCACATGGTTAGATTTCACTGCTATGTTGGCATAGTAGTGTGCTATACTTGGGGAGTGCACTGCTACGGCGATGTAGCTGGCGATTGCATGTACACACATGTGGTCACTACATTGCTGTGCCACACTGCAGGGTGATGTGTAGATGCACCCATTTTTTGTTATAATAAGCGTGAGACTGAGCAGGACTGCCAATGACAACATGAAATAATGTAAACATAAAAAACGTTCCATGCAAAATTTTGAAATCCCAGCACATGTGAAATTCTGAAAATAAATTTTTCCAAAACTCTTTTTTTTGTGGATTCTGAAATTCCAATCCAGCTTGTGTTGACGGCTTTTTTTCCAGAAAAGAAAAAGATGGAAGATGGGATGGAGTGCACCCTCAGCACGTTTGCAGATGACACCAAACTGGGGGTGGTAATAAATACACCAGAGGGCAGGGCTAGGATTCAGGGACACCTCAACAAATTGGAGGATTGGACTAAAAGAAATTTCCTGAGGTTCAATAAGAACGAGTGCAAAGTCCTGCACTTAGGATGAAGCAATCCCTTGCATCGGTACAGGCTGGGGACTGACTGGCTAAGCAGCAGCTCTGCAGAAAAGGACCTGGGTATTATAGTGGACACTAAGCTGGATATGAGCCAACACTGTGCCCTTGTTTCAAAGAAGGCTAATGGCATACTGGTCTGCATTGGTACGAGTGTTGTCAGCAGATCAAGGGAGGTGATTACTCCTTTCTTTTCAGGACTGGTGAGGCCACATCTGGTGTACTGTGTTCAGTTTTGGGCCCGCCACTACAGGAAGGATACAGACATTTTGGAGACAGCCAAGTGAGGGCAACAAACATGGTTGGGGCACATGACTTACGAGGAGAGGCTGAAGGAACCGGGCTTATTTAGTCTGGAGAAGAGAAGACTGAGAGGGGATTTAATAGCAGTCTTCAATTACCTGAAGGGAAGTTCCAAAGAGGATGGAGCTGGACTGTTCTCAGTGGTGGCAGATGACAGAACAAGGATCAGTAGACTGCAGTTGCAGCAAGGGAAGCTTAAGTTAGATGTTAGAGAAAACTCTCACTAGGCAGTTAATAAAACACTGGAACAAGTTACCCAGAGAGGCTGTGAAGTCTCCATCCTTGGAGGTTTTTAAGACCTGGCTAGACAAAGTCTTGGCTCGGGTGATACAGTTGGGGATGGTCCTGCCTTGAGCAGCGGGGTGGACAAGATGCCCTCCTGAGGTCTCGTCCAACGCTAATTTTCTATGATTCTATGAAAGAACTAGATGGGGCTGCATTTGCAGACTTTAAGCACTTCTCTTTGGACTTCTGGAAAAGGTGTGATACAATGTGAGGTGCCAACTCCCCTTCTGAAAACAATAATCGGCATGCCGCTTCAGAAGTACTCAGTTCACTATCCAGGAGTAGTGATGCCCTATGTTTCTCCATTCAATTCAGCGTTACTATCACAAAGCTTTCTGAGTAGCCCTAGGCTGGCCAGTTTGGTTGTACAAAAAAAAAATGCTGTGCTCAATTCAGATTACAAGTACAAAGATACTTTTAGAAAATAATGTGATTAAGTGCCAAAAATTCCTGTTATGCAGACACCTATGTGTCACTTAGACAAATAAAGGTGAAATAGGATTTAAACCTTAGTCTTCATTAGGTCATAGATGTGTCCATCTACACCAAAATTCACACTCTGGGTTTTCTATTTAGGCCATTATCAGTAACAGAAACCTTTGAATGCTAAAACAGTTTTCATAGATGGCTCTCATCATTACAGTATTTAAATGAGCCAAAAACATCATCATCCTTTCCAGAGTCTCTATAATTCTCCACTCCACTGGTATTCTGTATGGCTAATACTTAAACCAAGCCAACCTTGGGAGACTTGATAATTTTAAGAGACTTTCTAATTGTGCTACATGTAATCCTATGGAAATTGCAACAGAAAAGCATCCTTTTGGCAGTAGTTAGTGTTACATGTACTAAGCCAGCAGTACATGATCTCTGGCCCACAGGCCAAATGCAGCTTGCAGATCTAGTCTCTGGCCCATTAGCTGGGTAATTTGGTGGCAGGGGAGCGATGGCAATTAATAAGGCCACCCTCCCCTGCTGCCAAATTCCCAAATCTCAAATCCTGTTTAGTAGGTTAGGACTACATCATGTCCCCTCCCCCCCACCTCCCATGAAGATGGATTGGGGCTGGTCCATGTCCCCTTCCCTCTCTGTGGCTGGACTGGGGCTGGGCCACAACCCCTTTCCCCCTCTACCCTCCCACCCTGCTGGATTGGGGTAGGGCAATATACCCTTCCCTTGTGGCTGGTTCAAGACCAAACCACACCCAGGCCCCATGGGTCCAGACTGGAGCTGGGGAGAGCTCCCTTCCCTTTGTAGTGCCAGGCTGGGGTCCCGCTGTGACCACCCCTGGTGCCAGTTTGAGACCCCTGGTTGGATCCGGCCTGCGGACAGATCAGGTACTGCTCATCTGGCCCAGAAGCCAAAAGTTTGAGCACCACTGTACTAAATCATTTGGAGCTTTCAGAATTACAGAAAAGGTAAGAATATGTCCAAGGAGTGGGACTTTCTGCTATATTAACTGTGAATAGCTTCTTTTGAATCGACTCTGACTTCATCCTAATAATCTGGGGAAAAAAGAGACTCTGTGGCCCAATGAATTCTGTTGAAAAAGTAAATCCTTAGTTATATGGGATATAGTGAGATTTTTGAGGGGGGTAAGGGGAACTGAATTTTTGTTTAATGACAAGGTTTCAAGATTCATTATGATTATCTTAT